AATCCATACTTTCAAGCATACAATATTAATCTTGCTGTTAACAGAACTGTTTATTCCAAAGGGTGCATGGTATTGCTGTGCTCACAAGATATAAGATGACAAATTCATCAAATGTCAAACTAGCTGTTTATACAAAAGAAATAGAGCAGAGACAGGAACTAATAGGGCTTTCAGTGTGCGCTAGGTAAGATGCTTTGTCTCCAAAAAAACACCCTACAAAACTGAATTCCTTGTGCTTGTTTGTGGGTCAGGAGATAGTACCTCTATAGGATGAAGAGCAAATCTTGGGGAAGCAAAGTAGAGCCAGGCAAAACGCAGTCTCTGCCAGAAAGCTTTTTACACAGACCTCACATGCCTCTGCTGGAAAAGAGGTGAGAGCTTTGCATCTGGACACTGCAGCTGCCAAAGCCACCCCAAGAGTGATAGAGAAAAACATAGAGGAGGAATGCCAAGGGCAGCACAAACATCTCCGCCAGCATGAGAACGTGATGCCAAGTGAAGAGCACAATTGCATGCCTCCACCTTGGAAATGGCATGCCTGTTTAATAAAGGAAATTTGGATGAAGAAACAACTTGCCTGGGCATATTTTTTACACATTTTTAAACTATGGAAGAAGAATAAGTGACAAAAACACTCGCGTCTGCACCTATGGCAAGCCCAGAGGTAGTGTGAAAGCTGCCAGCATAACTAAATGAAATCTGCATTGATGCCAGCCACAATCCTCAACTGAGCAAAATATTGCAGAACTTGGCAGCTGGGTCTCTGCCATTCAAACAGGTGGAGAGGAGTACAAATGAGACCTTAGAATCGGGTGAGCACCGAGCCAAAGAATCAATGGATTGAAATGATAATGCCCGACATTGCAGAAAACTGTGGAAATAAAAGGGGGGATGGTGGAGGAGGGGAGAAGGAAAAAAAAAAAAAAGGACAAGAGAGAAGCTGAACCATGACGTAAACATCCAAGATAGGCCAGAAAACCTTGCAACTAAATAGGAAATTGATACTATACTTCCTATTTGTATTTAGATAGTAGACTTCATAAGGTCTAAAGCACATTGTTATTGGACTAGCCTCTGGACCAGACTGGGCGCATTAACTCCACAATTCACTAAAGATGCAATATCCGAGTTGTCAGGCATCTGTTTGCAAAAATACAGATTATTCCTTCCTTTGATCCCTGATAAACAAAAGCCTCAGATGCGCTTGAGAAAATATCCTCATCAATATTGAAATACTCACAGAGCAATCTACAACAGTCAGGGAAATAACTAAAATGGGAAAATGGAACATTTAAACTGCTGCCTTCCAGAACCATCTTTATAAGCAAAGGAATATGGAAGGAGTTCAGAGAACAGCAGTGAGTCAGGCAGTTTTTACCTTTAGATCTGCCATTAAACCACAGCCCAAGATGGTGGTGAATCAAAGTCACTTCCATCTGTGGACTGTTTGCTGGCAAATTGGTTTAGCAAATGTATTTGTGGTACCAGTGCCATTCCTTGCTGTCACAACTGACACTAATTAACACCCTTGCTGACAGCCCTGGGGAAAAGGCCAGAGGCTGAGTGAGCATTAAGGACGGCTTGAACCATTCTTCCTCTGGCTTTCTTCCTTTAGGGGAATTGTTGAGAGTTGCTGGGACACTGTTGGGCTGCCAGGGCTTGTTGAGTCTGCTGTGGGCACACACACTCCCAACTTGATTTTGAAGTATCTAGCCTAACTGAATCTCCATAAGTTTGTTCACTTATAGGAAAAACAAAAAAGTAATAACAACAAACAGAGGGCACAGTTTCCAAACAATGCTTAGAAGTGACCTCACAAAGCTAGAAATAATTGTTTGTCAGCATTCAGCATACACTCCATTAAAATTCAAAAAATAACCCAGTCCTCAAAATGTTTATGGATAAGAAATGTGTTCTGCTTATGCACAGGAGCATCTTGCTTCTAACACCGTTCTGGATGTGTTAGGTTACCCCGTCAAATTTTTTTAAGTCTGCCACTGAAAAGACCAGTGCAGTGATAAAACTGAGGAAATGTTCTCAGACATTATTAATGCACCAGCTTTTGCAGAAGGTAACAACCTTGGTGTGTCATTAAACAAGGTCTTCACACTCCCAAAGCTGATATTTAGTGTGTAAAAGAGTTGAGCCCTTATATAAATGAAGATTAACCCTGGAAGGTAAACCATGTTTATACTAACGAGGGAATGACTGCTACCAACTGAGAAGTCATCCAAACAAACGTGCTAAATGGAGTAGTATTGTTGGAGTAAATCAGCCTCTCATTTGGCTTTAATTCAGACTTCTATCAAGTAGCTTTTCTCCTTACAGGCCATTTAAGAAATCAAAACTAAACAGATGAATGAATAACAAAGCATAAAGAAACCCTTTTCATTGCATTCATCCACTCTCTGATCAAATTCTTTAAATGTTTTCCCCATCCCAACCAAATTATAAAAATACATCCTCTGTAGTGTTTGGTAAGAAGTCCTAGAAGTTCAAGCAGAGAAGAGAAAGAAATGTTTCATAAAAGGGAAGCCTCTAAAAATAATTCACATAGAATATATGATATTTCATTAATATATATATAAATGAAAGATAGTATTAGTGAGGAATATCAAGTCCTTGCTGAAGTGAGATGAATTGATTACTGAGAGTTACTCAGAAACAAAGTTATCATTAGAAGAACAGACTGGCATCTAGCTAACCTACTGCTTCATTACTAGCACCAATCAATGCCAATTGTTTCCTGAGAAGAAAATGCATTTGGCAATGGAGTACTACATTGTGCTGGGATACCCTGCATTATGAAGTCCTGATGCATGAAATGAAACATGACTTTTTTTTTTTTCTTTCCTCCCAGGCTGTAGAAAATATAGTGCATTAAATTGTAATATCAATTCAAATCAGAAAACTTTGAAAAAGGATTTGAAATCCTGTTTTGCAGTTTTAAAAGAGGAGACTGGTCCTAGATACTCAACAGTGCACCTGCAGCAAGCTATTCCCATACATCAGATGCAATGTAAGCAGACACTTTGGAATTGCTATTTAGTTTATCTTTCAGCTGGCAGAAGCCTAAAATATTGCATGTAACTTTCAAGGCTTGCAGTCAAACTGCAAGGTAGCAATGAGTGAATTCTTAGTAGACAGCTAAGCCTGTGATTCTGGCTATACTGGTCCTTTCTGAAAATTAACTGGCCTCTAAAAATAGTAAAACACTTCAAGGTGAAAAAAAAAAATAAATTAGAATATGAGTGCATTCAATTAACAGGTGTATTAATACATTTCTGAATGGTTTCACATCTGAAGATCAATAGTTGTGTTTAGCAAGGGCACAAGTCTAACCTCCAAGTGATAAGAACTAATAGCTACTAAACAGTGTTCAAACAATAAAACAATTAAGCAAAAACTTAAATGCTTAGCTTTCCACATGATGCATTCCAATGACAACCATTATTTTATTCTGTTAACAATGATTTTTCACTCACTAAATTAAACAATACCAAAAGTAATTCAATTTCAGAACATTTCTGGCGATACCCTGAGTTATAAACAAAGAAGGGAGATGGCAGAACCATTTGACAATTAGTTAACTGACAAAGCATTTATTTCCTCCATATGACATCCCAGGCATTTTAAGTTTTGAAGCCAGCCTCTTATCTACACATCTCACGCTTTGGCTCACATCACAGAGCATCCTGGAGCACACAAAATGGATTCCCCTCAGATGAAATCAAATCTGAAGATGTGCTCCAAACACCAGCAGACACCGAAGTCAGATGAGACCTAGTCCAAAGTAAAAACCTCAGAAACATACAGTAGAGGCTTCAACATCAACTGTTCTGCTCTAAAAATCCATTCCTGCCAGTCCACACAGTGTGCGAGTCTAAACATAGCTTTGGCAACATGATTTAGAATTAGTTCTGAGCATTTCTCTCTATTGTCACCATTCTGGTGCCTCTTTGGGTTTTCAAAGTAAGTATTTTCAGATATTTTAGTTGTACAGAGCAAATTTTGGTACTTTTCACTACTTGTTGCTGTGACATAAGTAGTGGTTGATGGGAAACAAAACAAGTACTGCAGGTTGTTTTAATTCCTGTCAAGGCTGCTTTTAGACTGCTTACATATGAAAATTTTAGTTTAGAAAAAGTTTCCAAAATAACACGGCCACTGCTTCACACTGCAGTTGACAAATAGTTCAGACTCTCTCTATATCCTCCCTGCTGCATCCCAGGCCCTTCCTTGCTGCCCTGGCAAAGCCTCTGTTTGCATACCTCCCTCTCCTGCTTTTCTTTGCATGCCCTCTCTTTGGATAAATCAAAACGATCCTTTTGGTTTCTGAGCCAAGACAAAATATGCATCCACACCAGGGATCTTTCTTTGGGAGCATCCCAAATCTTTGAATCCTTGTTTTTCTTTAAAATTACTCTAAAGTTGAGTAGAAGCAGCAGCTTATTTCACTGCATTTGCAAGAGAAAAGGGCTGTATGTATAACTTTTGAATCTGAACATTACTAGAGCAAGGAAACTCGGATATAAACTCCTAAGAAATGAATGCTTTTATTTGTGGAGCTTGCTGAGAGCACTACTATCCTTACAGGGATTCCAAATCAATCCTACTACAGGAGGTAACTGCCACTACTAATAAGGGTTTTGTTTGTAATTTGCTGTACGTTTCCTCAGGATGTCACTTTTCTCATCAGGCAAGCCTGCAGGCACTCACTCAACTCCAAACAATATAAAGTCATTAAATTCTTTTGCCTTGTTAGAGGGAAAGCCCAACTTCAAACCACACAAACAAACAACCAAAAAAAAAAAAAGCCTTGAAAAGCAGCAAAGCAACTTCAACATCATGAAAGCTAATTTTTCTTTTATGTTATTAGTTTAGCATTGTGAGTTCCCTGCTTCCAGTTTGACCTTTAACTTTGGTGAGACGCTGTCAGAATTCCACATCTAAAATAAGAGTAATATCATTTTGTTTCAGAAGCACGGCTGTTCTGTTCACTCCTTGTATCTTCATATCTTTTGACAACTTTTCCTTTTCTGGGACACTGAAATGTAGCCCAAAGATTTCCAGTCATAGTTCATCACATTGGACACTTTGTTCAAGGCAGAAGAGAAAGGTAACACAATAGAAATGTTATTTTTGGTAGACTGCTCAATGGCATTGCTGATTCATGTCTTTATCTTCTGTTTCCTACCCATCTTCCCATCTGTGCTATTAACTTCAGAGTACTTCAGCAGACAAATTATTATTCCTTACTCCCATATTACTTCTGTTTATGTCTTCTTTGTTTAACCCGGCGTGAAATATTTTAGCTAGTATACATGGTGTGATTGGTCACCTAAAAGTCAGGCAAGAATACACTTCTGAGTCTTACCTCTGTGTTAAAGCCACAATGAAACCCAAATTTTCTTCAAAGAATTCCACTATTCTGTGCACCAAAACCTAGTTCAAAACAGGAAGATCAGACAAATTCCAGACCAGGTTTTATTATGCTTCAACTAAGTGTGAAAACATACTTACTTAACCAAATAGAGTAGGTATGTAAGGATACTTTTCCATTCAGTATGACGGGAGATGGTAAGAAAGCTCTGCTTTTATCTGCATTCTCTCCATGTTGCTCAGTTCTCTATGTGCTGTTACAAAATCTTGTCTTCCTTTATCATGGCAATATCAGTGCTCATCTCATATCCCCAGACACATGGATCAGGTTGTTGGGATTGATGAAATGCCATTTTTGTGCCATTTTTGTATACCTAAACAGTTTATGGTACACACATATATTTTATACTTTGCAATATAATTAAAATACTCCGATCCAGTCTAACCACTTGCAAAACTATTCAGAAAAAGTATATATTTTTTTTTGCATATAGCTTTCCAGACTATATCTAGTTTAATTACATGTCAGTTCAGAATCCCAAGTTATTTTCAATCAACGATGCTCCATTAGGCAGACTTTGGGTGAAGTCTTGGCTTTAAGCAGAACTCTGTATTTTGCTATATTGAATTGCATATAGTGCAACCTGATCCAGCCAGTCAAGAGATCAAGGTTGTGCTGTATGACTAACTGCTCTACATCTTTCTCAACCACTCAACAGTGATGTTTTAATCACCAACAAATCATCATTAGAGATTTCATTGGGCCCACTACCGTGAAAAGAATCCCATTAAAAAAGAGCCCTACTGAAGAGAGATTCTCCCACGATGAGTGATTTGTGAGATGTGGCAGCTGACTGATCTTTAACCTATTTAATATGTTCTATATTTTAAAAAAGTTGTAAGGCACTAAATCAAACACCTTAAAAAGATCATGCAGCTAACTTTACCAACTAAATTTATAATATACTCAAACACTAAGATAAATTACTTGATAAATCCCCTTTATCACAAAATGCTGACTGCTTTTCATTCGTGTTTAACTTATGCAAACTAAACCTCCATAAGTCTTTTCATTAATTTCCTGGGGGCTGTTGTCAAAATATCAGTCCATGAGAGCCTGAACCGCACTACTTGCCCTTCTGAGTGTTTGCACAATAAAATGGTATCTCCCCATGTGCCAAACTCTACTCATTACTCATGACTTTGGGTCTCATGCGATCTCAGCTCTCCCAGGACTCCTGCCCAAGGAATGTCACAGCCTGCTGATTTGGGAGTATTTACCTGTAGCAGTGCTAAAAACAACATCCTTCTCGGTTACTACTGGACTTGAAAGCATTTCATCCCAAGATGAAAGAAACCAGAAGAAACTCCTGCTGAACACATCCGCCTTTTCTGCATCCTCAAAAAGAATTCAAACTTGTTGAGTTGTAAAGACTTATTGTATATTTGCAATAAAAGAGATGCTAGCAAATAAACTTGAAGTAGAAGTTTTAGCTTCATTGAGATGTTTCCTTCATTTCTATCACTTACATAAAAAACATAATCATAATATTCCCTCCTATTTAAACTTCATACTTATTTTTGTCCCCTATTTCTATTAAGGACGTATATTTGAGTTTTACTTTCTAACACTCTTGCACATTTCTGTTCAATTATTTCCTAGAAATTTTATACAGCTGCAGAAATTCAGCCCTTCTCAAGCAAACCACATTTGAGATTGTAATCATCTTCTCTTCAACCTTAATGAATATAAACTTGTTATGATGAGGCAACCACACACTGAAGCCAGTAGAGGCTTTTATTTATTATTGTATTTATCCAAAACCACGCGGTTTAAAATGCAGTTACGTGGCACTGGTTGCAACGCTTTTCAAATATAGGAAAAAAAAATAATAAAACAACCCAATGACCTTACACCTTTAGAAATCGAGTTCAAGCTCTATTTACACTAGTGGCAGATCCTAGAGAAAAAGAAAAAAAAAACAAACACATTTCAACTTGATTTTTTTTTAAATGAAAGCCATTTTACTGATCATCCATGCTGCTTTTTGCCAGTGTTTTGCTCGCTTTACTGTCTATTTTGAGTCTAGGACAACATAGCTACATCTGATTTCAGCTTCTCTACTATTCTCAAATATTCTACTTACACTTTTGATGCTATTGAGGTCTAAGCAGACATTTTAACAACTCAGATAGCATTCTCAAGCAGTAAATGCTAGGTTAAAACTACCGCATAAAAATTTGGGACAGTGCATCTGTTTATCTAAAAGAATTCTTTAACTTCTATATGATGGAATATAATCCTGGTAGAAATAACTTGCTTCCTGGATTTCATCATTCAAGGTTAAGTCCATCACAGATGAACATTACTCCTGCCAACCATATTTTAATGAAATCAGAAAATTAAATTATTCCAGCTTAGGACCCATTGTGGTTCATCTGCCTGAGCTGCCCATCTGAGTTCTGGAGAGAACAGAAATTCAATTATATCTTTCTTCTCCATGGTCCTTAGAAATGCCACAGCAGCACAGGATGGCCTGAGTTTCAATAAAAGAAATCAGGCTACATCACTGGCAGAATTACAGACAACTGCAATTCAACTGTATGGCATTTATACATCCATCTGAACTGAACGAGGTGCCCGACCTCTAGTGAAGTTTGGAGGAAACATCAGAATGGACACTGTTTCATTCTGGAACAGATCATCTATGAACAAAAAGTACAGGTAAAAAAAGCCAAGAAAGCGCTCCATCTTTGAAAGACATTGAGTATCACTGAGCACCAAGCAGCATGAAGCAACAAAACGAAATCAAAGTCTTATGAATACACTACAGATTTCCAAAGGCATTCCCGTGTTTACTGGACAGGGTTTATAGCTAGCCAGATGAGCTCTGCAATCCAATGTCCAGCTTTTTGACTGATCACATAGATAAGCATATATAGGTAATTTTCATGTAAACAAGGATTTGTTTTTGCATTGAACTTGGCAAATAAAGAGCTAAATACACATCATATGCAGATTTAAATCAAAGCATCTCCTTTGCTGTTGAAAAATGATATGGAAGGTTTCAATAAATAAGAGATAAATATGCAAACGTTTGAACAAAAATATAATTAAAATAAATGAGAAAAACTCCTATTTTCACAGCTGCTCATTGGTGCTAATTGCCACCCTCATTTTTTTTTTTTCTTAAATTATCTGCTATTGTGTTTCTAACTTCCCACTTTCAAATGCAACTTTAAGACATTCAAGATACCACCAGCCTACCACTCACTGAGTCCATTCACCAGCAGTAACTCTGAAAGAATGGAGGATTCGGGACTGATACTCCTTTTTCACTACTGCCAGTGATTTAATTATAAAAGCCATCCCAGTAGGCTCACGCTCTGTATCAAATGCCAAACGGGCAGAAGCTGGGAGTCTCCTCCACCCCAGCCTCTGGTATGCCTCAGCCTCAGCGGCGAGGAATCGGCTTCTCCTGGGATAAGAGGCTAATTTATCAGCTACATCATGATGCATCTCTCTCATTTCATCCAGCTGCCTCCTTCAGAAGAAATGGATGGTTAAAGAGACTTAGATCTAATTAATAATTAATGTTCAAAGCAGATATACAAAATAGCTCATATTCAAATGGGAAATCAAATTTCTAGAGATGAAATAATAAGTACAAGAAAATATTTAAAGACATTTATCTACGCATTGAAATAGAAGTACTATGGCCTGAAAAAAATTATGAAAAGAGTTCCTGTTATCTGCTCCTCCTTGCTAATAAATAGCAGGTCATAGTACTCTGAAATTTTGGTTTGCAAACATACAAATACATAAAGTTCTGTCTCCTTGCTCACTTCTCTCTCAGGAAACTATGCCTGGCAAGGTGGAGGATTTACTGGCTGATTGGTCCTTTGGTAGCACTGCAATAAGCAGGATAATTATAAACGGTGATCACGTGCCAAAGGGTGCAGGCAAAAGTGGGCAAGATGCTTCAGATGAAGCTGATGGCATTAACCGTGAACAAGACTGAACACGAAGGAGAAAAACAGGCCTTATTTTTAGGGCTATGCTAGCAAAACCTCCCTTGCAGAAAGTGAATAATAAATACGCTGGATGCCAAAGTAATGTCCATGGGGGGAGGTAAGGGATTGCTATAAAACACAGTATTCTAACTACTACAGATGTTGCTGCTAGAATTTACAGCTTTCTCTGCGTGCTTATCTCTCCTCACCAGTTTCTGCACATTGAGTCACATTCAAACATGGGCCATTTTAAGCCATCTTTTTATTATTTTAACCTTTTTTTTTTTTTTTTAAGCTACAATTAATTTCTTTTGCACTATTCTGTAACACTAAATAGATTCAAGACATGTATTTACAAACCACATGCAATCCCATTTTGGCACATGTAAATTACATGCAAATACATTCTAAATTAGTTTGTTTATCACTCCAGAATTCTAATCCAAAGGCTTTGTTTTTTTTTTTTAACTTTAGTTTTTATTCTGACATGTTTACAAATGAGTTTGACTCTGGAAAATAACTTAATAAACTCAGGGTTAGCTATGCAATTAGAGGAGGCATCTGGGAACCATAAAACCTGGAAAACAACATTTACATCTTTCATACATCCAAGACTCCACTTTTCTTTCTCCCTTGAATACATCATTTCAAAATATTGCAGTTATTTTTGTATGAGAACAGACAGGAAGAATTCATTTTTATAACCAATGACCCCTCTCTCCAATGAGCAATTCATGGGGTTGTGCTGGATAAAATGCACAAAGTAGAAGATTTCATTACAAAAAAAAGAAAATGAAAAATAACTGAATTAACATTGATCATGACTTTTCAACAGCATTTCTTATTATTACGGCTGGGAAAAGTCTCCTGTGGGCAGTAAAGCTTTCCCATGTATTATTAGCCCTCTACGGAAAGCTATGAAAAGACACAAATCTGTTTTGTCAAAGGACAGAAGAGCATTTAGTTATAAGAGAAAGTATGGTCATAATCCATTGCCAGGTTAAAGGTGAAGAAAACAGAACTATAACACAAAGCCTTAAGAGAGTAATACTCCTGCAGTTAATTCCTGAACACCACAGTCGAGACGCCTGGTTTGTGGGGAGAATACATTCTCAGGGCAACCTGACATCTATACGGTTTATATTTATTAGCAGCAGTGCTGTTATATGGCATCTGTTTGTGCTGGGTACAAACGCACAGCACCACGGGTCCTGCTTTGGGAGGCATTTGTCGAGATGCCACAAGTGCTCCTGCAGCCACTGCTGGAGCCCTGTACAGCAGTGATCGCCCTCACCTGGCCAGAGGGATGGGGACGCCTTGCTTTGTTTTGCTCCTGCCTGTGGTGCAG